TATATTTACAGCCATTTGCAAAAATTATGGCCGTTTCAAATATAAATACAAGTATATCGAAAGTGTATCAGACAGGGCGCTAAATCGTTCTTGATATTTTTTTCAGAAAGCCCTAGTGATAGACAACTCGAAAAAAATATAAGGGAGGCTATCCCATGATTTTTGTAAATATAATTTTTATAAATAGTAAATATTTAAGTAAAATTATTTTTATCATATTTTTTTAAGGTGTACGACTGACTGGAGGATCAAACACTCTAGAAGGAATAGTAGAGGTTTATTACAATGGCAGTTGGGGTACGGTATGTGATGACATATGGGACATGACTCATGCTCGTGTAGTTTGCAGACAGCTTGGGTTCAGAGGCGCTCACAGTGCTCCCCAAAGTGCTGCATTTTGTAGAGGAACCGGTACGATATGGTTGGATGATGTGAGGTGCTTTGGAAACGAAACCAGGATTCAAGACTGTACCCATTTGCCGTGGGGGTCACACAACTGTGTCCATGCAGAAGATGCTGGAGTTGTTTGTATTATATAAGAAAAAAACAAGGGCGACTTTAAGGATGGCCGAAGCGCACAACCCTCGCTCGCTTATTTTTGAGGGAATATTTTTCCGATAATGGTTGCTTTTGTTCTACCATACGGTGTGAGCATGTGCAATACCGCAACCTTAATAAAGTTTTCATGGATGACGCCTCGCAAAGATCCGTCGCATGCATTGTCTTCAGTTGACGCGAAACTATATAGTRAAAAGTTTTGATAATTGTAAAGAACTTTTCTTCACGTAAAGCTAAAGTGATCAAAAAAACTTCAGCAAATTGTTAAGATATCTGTTTAAAGATCTTGTAGGTCAATATTGTATTGTAAAAAAAAACTAGCGATTTGAGAAACAAGTGACATTTCGATGTTTAACATAACATCATTTTCACGCTCAAAGTAAAGTGTGGACGCTTGTGGACGACAGATATATAGAGCTTATGTAACGTTTAAAAGCACATTTGTGTTGAAAAGAGCAAAGCAAATCGAATTTGAACTAATACATGTTTATCTCAACCTGTACCAATCACTATTGTGAATGAACCTGGAATAAATTGCACGTGAAAAATACAAGGAATTTGTAATCATTGAAGACAGACAGACAGACAGACTTTTTTATTCGGTATCAAGTGTTAGTATACACTTGTTTCAATAAAGTTAGTCACCTGAAAAGCTACAAAGCTGAGACCGACAAGGATTATGGGTAGATACATTTTACATGTTTCAAGCGCTTGATAACTGTTGATGGATTTGAGATCTTCTACCAGTCTTTGGTGACTAACTTTATTGGATTAAGTGTATACATAGACATTTTACTCGAATAAATGTATGATGGCAATAATTGTTGATTTATAGTAATTTCTATTATGTTATAATATATTCACCTATTTGGGAAGCACCGGTGGCGTGCGCTGCTAATGCGCCGCCTCTCACCAATGCGGCCCTAGTTCGAGTCCTGCCGATCTCGATGTCGTATGTGAGTAAAGTTGTTTGTTGGTTCTCTCCTGTGCTTCGAGGGTTTTCTCCGGGTTCTCCGGTTTTCCTCCCCTCAAAAATCATCTTCTAAATTCTAATTTGATCTCTGGGCTTTCACCAAGTTTGGAGCCTAGCTCTGTTGTGATTGTCCCACGCTGTGATACAACAGCGAAAAGCTTTGT